ATATATATATCTTAAATGTAATGCAGTTTCAAAAAGATGTGTTGCCTAAGTCAGCAAAATAACAGACGACTGGAGCAGGAAGAACTCATTTTTCGACTGATCGGCCCTATCCTGCAACAATGTTTGTTCATGCGATCAGATTTCACTGTCCTTTACAACATGGAAAGTCATTATTTCACTTCTGCTCAAATCTGTGATCTTCAGCGAATGACTTTCTAGGAAGGCCATAGTGGTGGACAGTGACAAGTGCCTGCACAATTGGGTTGCTGTCCTCCTATTCAGCAATTGGCACCTGACAGCCTCTTGCCGGCCCTTTCCTCCGCTCCCTTCTTGACCTGGTGGACGCCACCTTTCTAGCCAGGGGCTTCCAGATGCCATACAGGCCCTTACCTGGCTGGATGTTTTCTCTGATGATGGTGACATGTTGGTCTCTATCGGGCCGTGTGTGTTCATGCCAGAACCCAACCACATGGCCCAGCTCGTGAGCCACAATGCCAAACTTATCACAGTTTTTCCCAATGGATATGGCCTGTGGACCCCCTCCTCGGCGTCCAACATAAGAGCAACAGCTGGACAATGGTAGAAATACTCAGGTCAGCAGGTCAGGGAACATCCACAGCAAGATTCCACCCTGCCCACTGAGTACAAATGCAAAACAGAGGTGAAAATGCTCTCGTTGTCCCTCTTCCCACCCAATGCAGAAAATTCTCTCAGAAAATGCTTCTCCGCCTTTTTGGTGGTCATGGATCTTCTTGAGAATCTGAAGAAAAAAAACTGAACTCCCTTCCTGGGATAAAACACATACCACGCCTCTCCCCCTCCACCCCAAAGCTGCCCTAGTCTCTGCTGCACCATCACAAGGACAAGGAAAAGATAGTGGAAAGAAGCAGAGGCGTTTCTGGAAAGCAGACCTCTCAATACCATTGTCGGAGGAGCCTTAGAAATGACTCTCTTCTGGGCACAATTATTCGTTCAAGTAATATTTATTCCTTGCCTTATGCTTAATACACTGGCCAACATTTTATCAAACTATTTTGATAAAAGAATTTTAAAAATTAAAGTGGTCAATAATCCCACCATCCAGACAATGTCTACTGAGCATTAAAAAGAACACAATCATATTACAAAGGACTGAAGTCTTTTGCCCCTGTATTTAGTCTGTTTACCCAAAGATACCCATGGTTAACAATTCCTTGGATGTTCACCCCGCAAAATTTTAGAAAGACAAAGACATAACTACATAGACAGATACATGGATACACATAGATCTACAACTTTGTTTATACATTTTCAAATTACACAGTATACTACATACATTGTTTTTCATTCTCTTTCCCCCAATTAGAGATCTATTTAAACAACATATATATTTTTATTATTCTCAAAGCAACATAGTACTATTTTTTTTCATAGTACTAATTTTTGAATAGTACTAATATATATTTCTTCAGTCTACTAAGAACACTTAGTTTTTGATCTTTAAACAAAGCTGCAGAGTGGAAAGACAAAACAACAACAAAATGTAAAACAAAAAGATGACTGGACTTTTGTTTGTGCATGCTAGTATAAACTAGCAATGAGATTAATGGATAAAGGATATATGTATTTGAAATTTTCATTATGATACAAGATGTACTTTCTTACTATAGAAATATATGTATAAAGAAAAACAATTATTTTATGATCCATCAGCTTAGAGTCTCTTCAGCTTTCTAATAGTCTTCAATTGATTTTTATGGGCATACAGTCACATTAACTTTCAGTAATGTACTCTTTGCCCTGTTCTTGCCAATATTCATGGTGTTTATCCAATCTTCTATGTAGTTATGTTAGTATTTCCAAACAATGTTAAATAATTATAGTGACTATAAACATATTTGACTTCATCAAGAATATTATCAGTAAACATCACTTTGGCTTTTCGTTTAAAATTATATACAAATATTTGTATATGTATATGTGAAAATATACAATATATTTTATTTTTGTAATTGACTTTTATTCCTGTGGTACCTTGTCTAATTGTTTTAAACAAAATACAGATGTTGAATCATGGAAACATCTTTCAGCATCTATTGAGATAACACATATGGTTTCTCTCCTTTGATCTATTGATCCATTAATCATATGAGTAAATTTCCTAATGTTGATCTAATCTTGCATTCTTTAGATAAACCTATGTGGCAGCCTGGTCTTCTTTTCTTCCACTGTGGAATTCTAATGTTTTATTTCAGATTTTGCACATCTGTTCATGTGTAAGATAAGTTTATAATTTATCCATTTCCTCATTTATTGTTGGCACCCTTTCAAGATAGCAAAACCTTGGTACTTCCTTAAAGAAAATTAAATATGTTCTTCCTCTATGCTCTGAAAAGTCTAAATAGTATTAGAATATGTTTCTTGAAGGTCTAAAAGAATACCCCTGTGAAAATCTGGATTTGGTGCTTTGAGGGAGGTAGCATTTTCCTTACATTTTTCAATTTCTTTCCATTACTGGTCTGTGCTAGTATTTTATATTTACCTTGAAGTCATTCACATTATCCAGATCTTTGCATCTTGCCTAGATAGTGCTACAAACTACTCTTTTATGATTCTGCTGTTATCTATGGCTATTTCCCATATTTCCATTTCTAATCTTGTGTATTTCTGCCCTTCCACTTTTTTTGTCTTAAACAAACTACTAGGTGGTATCTATTGTCTTTTGTTTATTCAAAGAAGTCACTCTTGAATTTATTAACTCTATGTTGTCTTACCTTGTCTGTTTCCTTGTGTTCTCTTAGTTCATTTTGTTATTATGCTGCTGGTGGTTTATACTTATTATTTGTTTTTGATAACTTCTTCAAACTGAATATTTCATTGACATTCTTAAGTAGTGTTGTAGATACAGGTTTAGCCTTATCCTTTTAATTTTGAACTATACAGCTTTTATTGTCTAGATATTCCGCAATTTCAATATTCACTTTTTTCTACCTTAAGAGCTATTTTTAAGAGGCAGCAAAGCTTTTAATTTGCCAGATAATGTATATTCTATTTTTGTTATTATGCCTACTTTCACTGCTTTGAAATTCAAGAATATTTTAATGCTATTTCTGCCTTTTATGACCCACTGAGATGTTCTTAATGCTTAACAGATGGACAAAGTCTATAAGCCTGCAGTATGCACTTAAAAATGTGTTACAGATTACAGAATCTATTCTTTTAGATCTATAGAATCAACTTTATTAATTGTACTTTTCAATTTTTCTATGAATTTCTACTTATATTTGGTCAACTTGATGGTAACCTACCTGAGCTGATGAAAGGAAATAAATCTGCTGCTGATGTTTTCTGATGATCTCTCCCCCTTGGCTTCACCAGGCTTATTTTATGACTCCTAATGCTATGCTCTATGGTACATAAATATTTATGACAGGTATATTCTTACTACAATTTATACCTTTTCTCATTATAGTGTCCTACCTTTTTCTTTTTATTTAGCAATTTTTTACTTTAAAAACAAAAACAAGGTCTAGGGGTGTAGCTCAATGGTAGGACAATTCCTATCATGACTAAGATCCTGAATTCAATCCCAGCACCATATACAAATAAATAAACAATAAAAACCTAATCTGTAATGAAAACCGTGATCTCAGCTTCCTTTTGTGAGCATTCCCTTGTATATCTTGTTTCCTTCTACTTTTATATGTCTCTGGGTCATTTGCACCTTGTGTATGGAACACACAGCTGAGTTTTGGTTTTGACCCAATATAAGAACCTTTTCCTTTGAGTAGGAGATTATACTACCCATGTTTTTTGGAATAACAGACATCTTTCATCATAATCTAGTCATTTGGTTGTTACATTTTCTGTAGGAAGCCTGTAATCCCATTGGACCTCTAAACTTACACACATCTATAAGGCCAGGTGTGGTGGCATCTGCCTGTAATTCCAGCACTCAGGAGGCTGAGGCAGGAAGATGGCTGTGAGTTTGAGGTCAGCCTGGGTTCCATAATGAGTTCAAGAACCACCTGGACTACATAGTGAGACCCTGTCTCCAAAAAAAGTTTGTTTACACCTATATACAGCAATTTTTTGGTCTTTGTTTGTCTGACAGTACTGGAGATTGAACCCAAGGCCTTCTCGCTGAGCCACATCCCCAGCTGTGTTTGTTTGTTTGCTTGTTTGTTTTGTTTTTTGAGACAAGATCTTGCTAAGTAATTAAGTTGGCCAGTTGCCCAGGGGCTTGAACTTGCAGTTCTGCCTCAGCCTCCTCCCAGAGTGCTAGAATTACAGGCTTGCACCACTGCACCCAGCATGTACACCCACTCTTGAAGGATGTTCTTAATGCTCAATGGCATTAAGGATCACTTCGCCAGCTATCAGATTCTCAGCAGTCACTAACCCCAAGATACTAAGAACCACTGACTTCTTTCTCCACACTAAACACTGGCCATTGCCATCCTGATGACAGAATCCACTGAGAGTGAGTCTTCCAGAGTCGTTCCCTGGACCCCCCTGCTTTGACAATGGATTGTGCTTTCACTGAGGGTGATGCGAATGTCTAGCAAGCTCTGAAATCCTATAAATCACAGCTCACTGGAAATACTAAGCATTAAAGAGGATATTTAAGACTCATGCATCCTCTGCTCCGTAGTCTCTGATCTGCTGAGGTGAGCTTGCTTTTGTGTACTTACCCACAGGTCCTGTAACTGAACACAATAAAGCTTTCCTCGTCAGTCCTCTCTGTGAAGGTCACACAGGTATGCTTCTCCCAGTGTCTCATGGCCTGCTTAAAAATGGCCCTCTGGCTGCCTGAAATGACAGGGCAAGTGCTGGCCACTTCATTCCTGGTCACAGTTTCCTTAAAAGGCATGACAGCTTAAGACAAAACTTGCTTTGATGATTAAAAATAAAAAAACCTTATTAATAATACTGTATTGGTTACTTGAAATTGAATGAAAGCATATTTTTAAGCACCCTCACAGATATACTCAGAGTTGGAATGATGGAGAGTGATGGATGTATTAATTAATTTGTGGTGCTCATTATATACCTATATCAAATCATCACTTTATATTCCTTCAATATATAAAATTTTGTTAGTTGAATATTTTAAAAAGAATTTTGAAATCTTGTTCTGGGGACCCAGAAGAGAAATACACTGGGAATTAGGATTTCCCTTGCTAAAAATAAACCATACTTTTCCTGAGCAGCCAAAACCTAGAGGGTAAGAGTTTGTGAATTGGAAGAGAGAGTAAAAACAGATGTTCAGAGTATCCTGGCCTTGGGCTGGGGATTTAGCTCAGTGGTGCCACTGCCTGCCTCGCAAGCGCAAGGACCCGAGTTTGATCCCCAGTACCAAAAAGAAAAAGAAAAAAACAAAACAGAATATCCCAGGCTTCCCAAATTTTTCTTTGTACTTAAAGTAGTTTCCTAAACGTTTATAAAACTGTACCCAGGATATTCATTTTGGGAATTGAAGGCTTCTGAAGTAGGGGGAGTCTGCTCCCCAGTACCACATCCTACCTTCATTTCTGCCATACCAGCAGAAAGGTGCTCCCAAGCATTTTAAAATTCTGTTTGCGTGCATATCCATGTCCATTGAGTGGGGTTTTGGTGTCTTCCGTGGGATCCTTGGGCCTGATTTTCTATAAGGCCTTGAAAAACAAGTGAATTTCACACTTTCTTTGAACCTATCCTCATATTCCTTGATTGGAAATTTGATGAATAATAAAACTCCATGCTGGCAATTTCATACAATTAGTAAGAATTCTTTCCAAAATCATCAATTTGACAGAAAGAAGACTGTTTTAATTTTGTTAGAAGCAGTGAGAAGGTTCTAGAAAAAAACAGTTGTTTAAGAAGTACAAAGGGACTGGGAGTGGAGATCTGAGTTTCAGATGTAAATAAATAAATAAATACCAACCAGCAAACAAAAATACCCCTGGGATAAACTCCCATCATCATCTAGAAGATGTGGGTGTAGTCCCCCAAAATAAACACAGGAAATAAATAGTAATTTAGCAGTCTTTTTTTTTTAACAACTTGATGTTTCTGGTTCAAATTGATCATTGCTCAGTCATAAACAGCAATCCTACTACTTACAGAATAACATACAATCTGTATATACACGAAATTTTGCCATATACAGTTAGCTCATTTTGCTGTAGGTCATATAAATCTTTGGTCAGGAGAGCACAGCAGACCTGAAAGAACAGCATCAAGACATCAAAGAGCAATGGTAGCTGTTCCGATCAGACATTGCAACTCTTTGGAAGCACACAGCTTTCTCTGATGTTAGAACTGGGGGCTCTTGGAGGGCAGGGTGGAGTCTTGTCCTTTTTTATCACAGCACATAATCAAGCATCTGGCACAAGGGGGCTGTGTATGATTCCACCAAGAGGAAAGGGTGGCCTGAGGAGCTCCGCGTCACCCCAGGCACCTGCTCATTTCCAGGTCTGCACACATCTGCCACTAACTGGCTCTTCTGTGCTTCTCAGTGGTGCTGGCAGGTTGTCCAGATACCTGCTTTCACCAGCCACCTCCTGTGGGAGGGGAGGGATTCAGGGCAGAGGAGAGGCTAGGGAGAGGCTGGGAGAGGCTGGGGAGCTTGCTTGGTGGAGTCTTGGGCCAGGAATTCAACTGGTGCTGTGCTGGATGCAGGATGCTGTGGGCAAGTTGTTGGAGTGAGCCTCTGTTCTGGGCCTCAGGCATGAGAACAGTCAGGAAAAAAAATGTTCTACTGCCATAGAGCTTGAGCAGAGATAAAAAGTAAACTGAAGTACAAGAGGAGCAATGTCAGTAATGTGAGTATTGCAAAGACATAAGCAGGATGCTGGAACCCGAGTCACTGGTGGGGATACTGGGGAGTCAGAGGGGTTTCTGTGGATAGGTCACTTGGTCTGAGACTCGAATGATAAGAAGAAGCCAGCCATGCGAAGCTCTGGGGGAAAAACCTTCCAGGCAAACAGAAGAGCAACGGCAGGTCTAAGTGTGCTTAGGGGGATGGAGGTGGGCATGTTCAGGAACAGGAAGGTAGCTGGTGAGGCTGGAGGACAGGGGCTGAAAAAGAGGGAAGAGATGAACAAAAGAGGTAAAAACTAGGAAGGGAGACTTGGGGAGGGCCTAGTAGGCATGTCAGCAGTTTCAGCTTCATCCTATAGGTAGTGGGAAGCCATGAGATGATTTACATATTTTAAAGGTAATTAAACTAATAGCAAATGTTAGGCATAGTTATTATGTGCCAGGCATAATTCTAAGTGCTTTGTCTCTATTAATTCGTGTAACTCTCAAAACAATATGTACAATGGAAAATGACATCATTCCCATTTACAAAACAGGGAGCCCCAACAAAAAGTTAAGGAATTTGCCAAGAGGGGAGCCAGAATCTGAACCTCAGCAGTCATGTTCCATCCTGCCCTGTCTGCCATCTGACTGCCATGTGGAACACTGCTTAGGTGGACAGCGGCAAGAGACCACTGCGTCCAGGGCGCTCGACCAGGCAGAATATGACAAACCACCATGCAGCTGCCCACACCCCTCCTTGTGCCCGGGAGGCACACTCTTCATGCAAACTCCCTGTCCTTCAAGACCAGGCTAATGCATCCCTCCCTGTGAGAAGCATTAGAAACAAGGTGAGTGTTTGGTGATGCAGCCCCAAGAGAAACTGTGCTTTCCTTGAGACAGGGGAGCCAGCTCACACGGCATCAGGGAGCCTTTACAGGTGGAAATGCCATGACCCTGACATCCAGTACCTGGCTCCAAAGCAGTCTCACCGTGGGTACTGACCAGTGAAGTTCCCTCCAATGACGTAGGGGATGACCCCACCAGGCCAGATCCTCTCTGTCCTTGAAGTTGTGGCTCTTCGGACCCGGGCAGAGAAGGTCTTGGCCGTGGCATTCAAGGTCTCAGGGCTGGGAGGAAGTACGGCATCCTCTTTGCCATCTGCAAGACAGTCAGGCACCACGTATTTTGTCCTCTGATTCCTCCTGTGAATTATGCTTAAGATTGCATAAAGCACAAATCCAAAAGTGGGGCATTAATACCTGCAGTCTGAGGGGGCGTTTCACCTGTGCAGGACTTCAAATCCCTGGCTGGGAATATTCCACATGGGGAAAGGCTAAGGGGCCAAGAGGCGCCATGGGGCACAGAATCAAGGGGGCCCAGACCATGTTCAGTCTTCCGAGTGGGAGCAAAGTTGGGATGGGCTTTCTTATAACCATGAGCATTTGGGGGAATCAAGTGCAGCCAACCCCTCATCTTCACCTAAGAGTGTTAATGCTTCAAACTGAAATACTTTGGCCAGGACAGCAACGAAAGTGGGCCAGTCTGTGACATTGGGAAAACAAAACAAAACAAAACAACTAATTCTTTGTTAAAATCCAGAAAAATTAAAGGTACAAGATCCCAATGATAAATGTAACTGTATTGTTTGCTTTAAATGTACCAATAGACTTTTTTTTTCTTCATTGAGTTTATTGGTACATTTTAGGTATACAGTACAGTTACATTCATCATTGGGATCTTGTACCTTTACGTGACAGGTTGTACCAATAAACTTAATGGAAAAAAAATCCAGAAAAAGGCAGAACCTCATAAAATCTTCCATCTCTTTCCAGTCTCTTGGCACATCTGAACCCTTAAGAGAAGAATGTAAAAAACAGAAGTTTAAGGTTCTGGAAACAGCAGAGGTAGGGCGGTGAAACAAACGCCCAGGCCACTACACAGCAGAACCCACACTCGTGCTATTCATTCATAGAAGCTACAGATTCGTTTCAGTCACTTGTTTAAAATTCTTCAATGTGATCACGTGGAGTTAGTCTCTTCTGTTTTATATTTCCCCTCTAAACATCAGCTTTTAGCTTTGCTTTGCTCTATTTTAAAATTATTTTCATTTTTCTTTACTTCATTAATGTATTAATACCTTTTCATTTGTTTCATTCTGTGACACTTCCTTTCTAGCTGGTCTAGAAAATGAAGAAATAATTCTTAATAATAATATTTACCTTTTTATAGTATACAATTCAGTGATTTTTAGTATATTCACAAAGCTATACAGCCATCACCTCTATTTATTAGTACAATGTTTCATTACTCCAAAAAGAAACCTTGTGCCCATTAACAGTTACTCCCCATTTCTTTCCAAAACTGAAATTATATCCATAAAAATATGTGTAAATGGGGCTGGGGATTTAGTTCAGTGGTGCCACCACCTGCCTTGCAAGCACAAGGTCCTGAGTTTGATCCTCAGCAGAAAAAAAAAGAGAAAGAGAGAGAAGGAAGGAAGAAAAAATGTGTCAATGAATGATCATAGCAACATTATTCACAATAGGCAAACAATGGTAAATCACAAATGTTCATCAACTGAGGAATGCATGAATGAAATGAGGTATACCCATATAATGGAATATCATTGAGCTACAAAGCAGAATGAACACATTCATGCTACAACATGGATGAACCTTAAGAACATGTCGACTAAAAGAAGCCAGACACCAAAGACCACGGGTGGGATGATTTCATTCATATGCAATGTCCAAAATATACGTGTCATACGAACAAAGTAGATCACTGGTTGCCAAGAACCAGAGAGAATCTTCCTGCTAGTATGGCAGAAAATAAGGGTAGGGTATAATGCTGAAGAGCAGGCTCCCCTACTTCAGAAGCCTACATCTTCCAAACTGAATAATCCAGGTGCAGTTTTACAAACATTTAGCAAAATATTTTCAATGCAAAGGAAAAGCTGAGAACCCCAGGATATTTTTAATGTCTATTTTTACTCTCCCTTCCAATTCACAAACTCTTACCCTCTAGGTTTTGGATGCTCAGGAAAAGTATGTTTAATTTTAGCAAGAGAAATCCTTATCCAAGTGTATTTCTCTTCTTCTAAAATTAAGAAATGTTTAATTGACAGAATTGTATATACTCAAGATGTATAAAGTGATGATTTGATGTAGATATATACTAGGTAATGATCACTACAATCAACTAACACATCCGTCACTATTCATCAGTACCATTTCAGGTGTATGTGTGAAGATGGGGAAGGATACTTAAAAATGTGCTCTTTCTATACTTTTACATGTTTTTCCATATAAATTTTATAATAGTTTAGCTATGCCTACAAAAAACATACTGAATTTTTATAGGAATTCTATTAAACCTATAGATCAGTTTGAAGAGAAGTGGTACCTTTACTATATCGAGTCTTATTACCCAGGGTACAGTATATGTCTCCATGTACTTATGTCTTCCTTGGCTTTTTAAATCAGCATTGTTTAATTTTTATCATACACATACTATACATATTTTATTAAGCATATTGCTAAGAATTTCACTTTCTGTGGAGTGATTATAACTGGTATCATTTTTAAAAATTTTATCTTCTGCATGTTCATCGTTGTAACAGAAAAATGTGAGCAATGTTTGTGTGTTGATCTGGTATTCTATAATATTGATAAACTCATTTATTGGCTGTAGAAGTTTTTTGTTTTGTTTTGTTGCAGATTCCTTGGGATCTTCTACATAAAGAAATAACATCATTTGCAATTAGGGATGAAGTTTAATTTCTTCCTTTTCAATTTTCATGCCTTTTATTTATTTTTCTTACTTTATGGTAGGGTCTTGAAGTTCCAGAATTACGTTACATAAGGGTATGAGAGCAGACATACTTGCTTTGCTCTTGATCTTAAGGAGGAAAGCATTCAGTCTTTCATCATTAAGTATGAAGTAAACTGCAAGTCCTTCTGTAGATATGCTATATAAGTTAATTTCTCTTTACTCCTAATGTTCTGTTTTTATTCTGAATAAGTGTTATATTTTGTCGAGTGCTTTTTCTGCATCAATTGATGGGATCGCGATTTTTCTTTTTTAGCTTGTATATATATATATAATATATATATATATATATATTCAAACATTAAACCAATCTTGCAAAGCTATGATAATTTCTTCTTGGTTGTGGTGTGTCTTTTATGCATTATTGGACTTGATTTGCTAATATTTTACTGAGGATTTTTACATATAAGTTTAGATAGATTTTAGGTAGATCTCTTAAACAATAAATATCTGGATTTTTTTTTCTGGCTGCCCAGCCCAAGACTCTTAACATGTAACAAATGGATTACATTTATTTTTGTAATTGGCCTGCCTGAACTTATTTACTTCCTTTTGTTTTGTGGGGTGCTTTTTTTTTTCTTTTCTTCTTTCCTCTTTGTCTTTCCCTTTCCTGATGTCTTTTAGATTTAGAAATTTTTCTGTACTTTTTATTTCCTTTATTCTCTTCCTATTCTTCACAATTACCTTTAATTTTTAACCTTCATGCTTAACAAGGTATAAAGAATTAGTGAACTAATTCCGGTCCCCCTTCTGTCTCCCTAATAAATTTTTCTGACTCTTAACCTCCATTGTTCCTAGAATTCATTCTTCAGTTTTAGAGAACATGAACTTGCACTTAGGATATCTAGAAGGTTTGGGAGTTACATCTGTTCCCCCTCTATTACCACCGCCTGTTTATTTATGCAATTTTATTTGTTTTTTTAATAAACTATTTTATTTTATCCCGTGCCTCCCAAACCCCCTCCTTTCCCTACGTACGGAAGCTTTGTTTCCACTTTTTCCTTCTAAGTTTGATTATATACAGATCGTGCAGAATACAAGTATGAAGAGGTACAAAGTAGTCCATGCTCAAAAAGATGTACTGGAATACAGAATCAAACTCATTTTTTTTGGCCGGGCGTGGTGGTGCATGCCTGTAATCCCAGCACTCGGGAGGCTGAGGCAGGAGGACTGCTGTGAGTTCGAGACCAGCCTGGGCTACATAGTGAGTTCCAGGTCAGTCTCAATAAAAAAAAAAAAAAAAAAAAAAAAAAAAAAGCAAAACAAAACAAACTCATTTTTTAAAAAATATATGTAATGATAGGTAGATACACAGATAGATATAAAATAAGATGGATCTAAAGTAATCAGAGTTCCCAATCTCATTCTGAAAAACACGACTCAAAAGCATTTAAAAATTCTAATTCCTTGCATTATTGTTTACTTGTTTTTAAGCTCCAGTCTCTATTATCCATGATTTGTTTGTATTCACAATACATACCTATATCTACCTTAGACCCATCCATTTCCTTGCTCACTGCTACTTCCCACATTCAACTTGTTCTGCCTGGAAATGCGTCTTTTAATATTCTTTCATGAGAATAATAAACACTCTCAGTCTTTACCTGTAACTGTTATCTTTGCTCTGGAACTTAAGTTTAGCTGGGAATACATCAAATTCTTACTTGATAGGTAATTTTTCCCTCAAGTCTTCAAAGATAGTATTGCAGTGCCTTGTGGTCGTCACAGCCAGGAGAGGTGCCCTTTTAGAGTAATGCCATTTCATTACCCACTATTGCTTATCTTTTGTTGTTTCGCTTCTTTTGCTCCTGGTCTTTGCTGTTCATCAGTATCCATATAATTGTCTATATATGGATCTGTTTTATTTCTTTGTTTGGGATTCAATGCCATTCTTGAAATTTCACATCTTCCTTCAATTCTGGAAAATTCTAATCCATCATTCTATTAAGGGTAATACCAAGCTTTAAGTGTGATACCAAATGTAATACCAATGGGTTTTATTTAGCCCCTCTCTCAGATTCTACATAGGAGTTCTCTCATCTTCTAGGATTCCCACCAATTACACATTGAACACTGTCATTTTAACCTCTGTATCTCTTCATCTTTTTTCTCATTTTATGCCTTTTTCTTTCAGTGTGGAAATGTGTATGGTTTCCTCAGATCTATTTTCTACTTCTCTTAGCCTCTCTTTGGTTGTGTTCAACATAAAATTTCTTATTTTAATTTCAGTGAATATGGTAACAATTTATTATTAAAGACCTATTTGGTGCTTTTTAAAATACACCTTATTTTTTTCAGTTTCTTGGTCCTCCCCCCACCAATACTTC